CAGCTGTTGGTCACATTGTAGCATCTAGGGATAAAAGGCCCGCAGCACCCAGAAGAGCTGGTTCTTGCTTTTGGTGAGGTTCCCTGTGTTAGGCAGGCATATGAGGATGGAGAAGATGAGCTCACCCTGTCAGTCGCGGCAAGTCTGGTTAGGGAGATGAGTTGTATACACGGGAATAAACATTAGCCCAAGGCAGTGAGGACCAGTCAGAAGGCAAGAGACGCCAAGGGAAGAGTTAACCTTAATTGAGTAGCTGCCAGTGTATTTTCTTATTTAATCCTCATACAGGTTCCATGAGGTTCTATTATTATTCTCTGGACAGGGGAAGCTTCTGCACAGAGAGGGGAATTTGCCGGAGAGCAATCAAGTGGAGAGAGTGCGCAGGCTCACTCCCTTGCATCGTGTTGTTCCGACCGATTAAAGGTTCGTGTTTCACGAGCTGCCGCCTGCAAGGACCCTCCCCGCCCAGTTCGTAATTAGATTGTGTTCTCGACATTTCTGTGCGCTGCGGCTCTGCATCATGGACGCTAGCATGACACTTCCAGTTCTGCCAAACACTCCCTGCGCTGGGCTGGCGTAAAGAAACGCTTGCTTCTGTGTCTTCGCTCTTACTAAACTAGGGGGACCCTCGTTTTTGTTGAGATACTTTGTGGAGCTGTATGCTACTGTACCCATTTTTAATGGGGCAAAGCTATGACCCATTTTTACGGCTTGTGCCCAGTTGGAAGGGAGTCTTCAGCTTTCATGAACCCAGAGCGATCGGCTGATGCGGGGCCCAGCAGCCTTCTACCTGCTCTGCTGAGGACGCTCTGCCATTGGCGTTCTGATGACCAACTGGCAAATGTTGTGATGTTTCTCTATTCTTCTTTTGTGGTTCTTTACAAGAAAGGTAAGATTTAAGTGGGATTTAAAAGGTAGAAGAATTAAGTCCTCCCATAGTTTAGAGATACCATTTGAGGTTAGCCTGAATTATGGAGCGTCAAAAACTACACTGATATAAAAAATGGAGTTTTATAAAACAAATAAAAGCATAGTTTGTTGCTGTATTATCTCTTTATAAGTGTTATTTTACATCTCTTTATAATCGTTAATAATGGCATAGCCAAAGCTTGATGTGATGGTGGGTTTTTTTTTTTTTTTTAATTTTAATTACTCCCTCCTGAGTGGATTGGCATTTCAAGAATTTTTAAACAGCTACTGACATTTTACTGTTATATTCTAATCACATGATGAACTGTCAATATGTTCCTTGTGTGGAAAAAAGTTTACTTGAGCTGAGTGTTCATTATCTTCACTTTAGACCGTTTTAACAAGAAAGGAAATAAAAAAGAGCTTGGCAAGAATGTGGGCTCCTTGCCTTATGTAAGCTGGCTTACCTCCCACCTCCCGTGGGTAGAGCAGAAAATGGAAGGGGGAAAGGGGGGTGCGAAGCTGCTGCCCACGGCTCCAAATGGAAAGAAGCAGGAATCCATCATGTTTATAAACTCGTGAGAGAAGGGAATGACCATCCAGGCTCGAAGGCCATCATTTTTGCTCTTTCTGCTCCATGCTTCTGATGGTTTATGCATCTTTTTTTTTTTTTAAAGATTTTATTTATTTATTTGACAGAGAAAGACACAGCGAGAGAGGGAACACAAACGGGGAGTGGGAGAGGGAGAAGCAGACTCCCTGCTGAGCAGGGAGCCCGATGCGGGACTCGATCCAGGCACTCCAGGATCATGACCTGAGCCGAAGGCAGTCGCTTAACCAACTGAGCCACCCAGGCGCCCTGATGGTTTATGCATCTTAAGTCCCCAAATGCTCTTCAAGGAAGAGGAGCAGTTTCTCCTAATCAACAGGCACTCAGATAGAGCCATCAACTGTCATAGTCAGGAAACGAGGCCCAGGACCCCCTTACCCTGCAGAATTCCATTCCGGGCTTTTACTCTAGAGTGACCCCTGGAGGTGGGAGAATAACAGTGCACAGTTAGGCATACACAAAGATCCTATAGGACTCAGGAAGCCACAAGGACTATGTTCTATGAATTTATATGAACAACTAAAACCCTTTAGCCCATTTCTTCCAGCAGACTATGTTCTGGCATTGGCAGGGACCTGGGCTGGAGCAGGGAAACATTTTGTTTTGCTTTTGGTTTTATTTAAATTTGTGTTTCATTGTTTCCTCTTCATGTTTTGCTAAATTCCTAAATAGTTACCATAATCTTTATTTTCAATGTTCTTTCCTTTTACTTTATTTTTAAAGAAAAGGAGTATTGAAAATGGGAAGGCTTTGAAGAAGAACAAAGAAGTGAGTCTTGGCTTCTTTTTCCAATCCTCCTAACACCATGATTTCCACGGACAAAGAGGAGAGGAAGAACGTTCCAGGTAGAGTGAACTATAGGATCAAAGAACCGATGTGCATGGCATGGAAAGAACAGCAAGAGTAAAGCTCAAAAAGGTGGTTTGGGAGCAAATTGTGAAGGCTCTTGAATGTCATAATAGTTGGGAGTTTAGACTTCTTCCATGGACAATAGGGAACCCTCAAAGGCTTCAGGCGATGAGAGATGTGATCATATTTATTGTTTAAGTAGGTGGCTCTGGTATCAGTGCAGAGAATGGATTAGGAAAGAGTCCAGAATACCAGTTAGGAGGTAGTTTAAATAGTTTAGAAGTGAGAATAATGGCCCAAATTAAGGCAGTTTTGGTAATAAATGGGCATATAACCAATCTAGGATTGGTTAAGAAAAACTATGCTGGAGAACGTATTCATGAGATTAGTCATATGAAAGGCAAAAATATAACGGAGGAAAATAATGCCCTAAGGTGTGTGCCCGAGACAAAAAGTTACCATTAATCCAGAAGGGGTTCCTTGGAGGAGAGATATTCAGTGTGTTTTCCGTCAGATATGCTGAATATGAAGTGTCCTTGTGACATCCAAATGAAGGTGTCTAGACGGCTAGAATCTTGGGGTTGGAGCTCAGAAAAAAGGGTGAGACCGAAGATGAGTATTTGGAAGTCATCAGCATAGTTAGGACAGGTGAAATTCCCGAAGTAGATGAGGTTACTTAGAGGAGAGAGTATAGCATGGAAGAAGGTATGGCCCAGGACAGAACCTTGTAGTTGAGGAGTTGCCAGGAAAGAGACTGAGAAGAGCCATCTGAGATAGAAGGACCACATTGCAGAAGCCAAGGAAATAGTATTCAAAAAGGAGCAATTAACATAACAATAAAAATTAAAAAAAAAAAAGAAGCAGTTGTTTAGAAAAAACATTCAGGAGCGCCTGGTGGCTTAATTGGTTAAGCGTCTGCCTTCAGCTCAGGTCATGATCCCAGGGTCCTGGGATGGAGTCCTGAATCTGGCTTCCTGCTCAGTGGTGAGCCTGCTTCCCTTGCTTGTTCACTCTCTCTCTCAAATAAATAAATAGAAGAAAAAGAAAAAGAAAGAACATTCAAAAGAAACATTAAATATTGGCCATAAGGGAGTCACTGATGGCCTCTTGAGAAGGCAGTTTCCAAGGAATGAGAGGCAGGAGTGAGATCCTAGTTGTTGAGACATGGACAGGAGGCAAGGAAGGATCACTGAAGCACAAAAACTGCTCTTGGGAAGTTTTCTAGTAAAGGAAGAAGAGAAATGCAGCTTAAAGGGAAGAATTTCTATCTGCATAGTTCAAAGTGCTTTTACATTCATTAGCTTACTTGACTCCCAACACAGCTCAGGAGGTGGGAAGGGCAAGTATCGGTAAGACTGGGAACAAAATGAGGTTTAAAAATTGGTTAGAAGGCTTACCCAAGGTCAACTAGAGCAAATAAGTGGTGTAAGAACTGAGCTTAGAATTCAGATCACTTGGCTTTCAATTCAGTGACCTTTCCCCTTGTCAAAACAGAGCATTTCTAAAGTGTTCACTCTGTTTGGCAACTGGATACTGGAGGGTATTGAGCTCCTTGTTAAAGGGGTATTGATCTTATCCAGGGTGCAATGGGGAGCAACTGAAAGTTTTCGTACAAGGGAATGCCATGTTTAAGTCAATGCCCACGGGAGACAAATTTGGCAGTGAGGTGAAGGATGTGTTAGTGGAACAGACACCCAGGGGGTAGGCCACGAGAACACGGCATCGGACAGGACACAGCTCAAATAAACATCTAACTGCATGCTGAGAAGGTCGTTTCCCTTTCAATTCTGTGGACCCTCTTCTGTTTGTGTTAAGGAGAGGGTATCAGTTTGCTAGTAGTTTTTGACACCCTTCAAATACTCTCTAGTCTCCCTTTTGAACAAGCTTCAGACTGGGAACATCGGCAAGCAATTGCGTCTTGCCAGAGCTGAATTACATTGCTTTGTGTTTATTTTATTTGTATGATTACTTTCCAGTATGACAAGAAGTACTGATTTCCCTTTTATTATTATTATAGAAAGGTTACTGTCAAATACCTCTAAGTAAAACAAGTTAAATTAAGGAAAAATATTAAGTCAACTCTACGATGGGTGGTATACACATACAGGGAAAAAACACTAGGAATGTGCATTTTAATGACTAAAGTTTGAAAAATTCTGGTCTTGGAGGCTATTGTAATAGGAGTAATGAGGGTTTAGTTCAGGGTGGGGTGATGGAAGTGGAAATCGAGTAGAAAGCTCCGACAGATATCTTAAGGGAGTTAAAAAAGAAGGGGACAGTTATCAACCTGGGGTATTTTCTGCATCATCTCTCAGGATGTTTATGGCTGCAATAATAGATAATAAGCTTAAATCCAAAAGGCTGTGCAATACACAGAATTTATTATCTCATGTAACAAGAAGCTCCAAGGTAAGAATCTAGGATTGGTTAACTCAGAGGCTCATTGACATTACTAAGGACTCAGCTTCCTTCTACCTTCCAACCCCAGCAAAGAAGCTTTGTCTTCATAGCCTCAAAATGGCTGACATGATTTGAGCACAACCTATGATCAGTGCAAGAAGACATGTCTTCTGGTGATGAAGAATGAAGAACAAAGAAACCTTTATTAAAGAAATTTCTTTAATAAAGAAACCTGAAGGCACCTCCATCAAAATATTTTCCTTCAGGATTCGTCGTCCCCAAATAGGTCACATGTCATGCATAAACCAATCCTGACAGGGGGAGCTAAATGACGGTAACTAACCTAGAATAATTAGGATTTATTCTCCGAGCTAGGGTTAAAGATCCTTTCCTGAAGGATGGAGTTCTCAAGATAATGGGGACTCTGGTAACACATTTGGCTGATAGGCAGTCAACCATGTCCTATACAACTTATACCAATTATCTAACTGAATTCCTCAAGTTAACCCTTGAACATAAGTGGGGAAGTTCTTGAAGCTTGTTGTTTTTTTATTTTTTAAAAATTTATTTAGCTCTTCTCTCCATGTGTTGGATTAAGGCAGACCGAAATACTTCCACTGCAAAATGAACATCTGGTTTAGTGATGCACATTGAGGGCGTGATGCGGAATGTCTGAGGAGACAAAGGAAAATAGAGCAACAGATCATCATAGAATCAAATATAACTTTGAGAAAATGCACTAAGCTAAGACTCTTAAACCTTATTTTTATGACATGTCTTCTATTTCCCTCCTGGGTTGGTCTCCTCCCTCCCCAATGCTGTACCCAGGCCATTCACCTTCTAGTCTCCTAACAATTCTGGTACCATCTGGCTCTGCACCTCTTCCTTTTTTTGCCATCTGCTCACCTCCTGGTCCTTCCACCACCTTCACTGAGGTCTCGGGCACCTATCTACACCTAATTTCTGCGGGTACCGAGGGTGGCCTCCATGTCCGGGTTTACAACCCTACAAAGTAGCTTCCTGATTGCCAAGACTCCCAGAACCTTCATCTCTGCTCCTCTGCATCCACCCTCCCCTCCCTACCCCCTCAAGGCCAGCGCCAAGAGCCTCTTCTTCGTCAGGAACAATCTAATTTCGGATTCCCACTACATCTGCCCTTTTCACTAACACTTCAGTCTCCTCAATCCCCCATGGGCTTCCGGACTGCCGCCCCGCTCCGCGTCTTCCTCCCACTCCCGCCCGGCCAGCCGCGTCCGGTTGCCAGGGTGCACGACTTTCCCAGCGGGCCCTCAGTTCGCGCGCCCCGCACCCGCCGCCGCCGCCGCCTGCACGCAGCAGGCGCCTGCGGGGGCCGCGCGGGGCTGAAGCGCACCGCCCACCCCACCGTGGCCTGCGGGAAGGGTCCGAGAACGTCCCGCCGCCGGGCAGACGGACAGACGGGCACCACTACTGTTTCAGCCGCTCCAACTCCTGCGGGTCCTAAGTTCTCTTGTCCTCGTCCACCCGGTTGGAAACTTTACCCTCCCTCTCAGCTTGCTCCCCCAGCTCCCACGCCTCTCCCTCCGTGCCACAGACGACCTTCCCCCTGCGGCTCAGAAGCTGTCAGGCAAGATCTTTCTAGAAACTCGTGTGCTCCCACCTCCAGTCTTACATCCCCGCCTGAAGGTGAGGAGGACCAGGCGTCTATCCTATGGAAGTGAGCCCTGGGCCCTGGGGCCGCGCCCCCCCACCCCGTTCCCTCCGGGAAGCATCCCCTCCTCTCGGGCGTCCCCAGCTTCTCGGACCACCCCCCCAACCCGCGAACAAGCCGACTTACACCTCTGCCAACCTAAATCCAAACCACGCCAGATAAAGAGCTGTCGGCCCCACGCCCCCCACGCCCCCCACGCCCCCCTTCCAGCCACTATACAAACGCGATTGTCTCCTATTACCCAAACGGACTCAAAAGGGGGGTTGGTGCTTGTTGGCCTTTACTGTTCCCTCTGCCCACGCTGGTCTCTTCACACCCCGACCCACCGCAGCCCGGGGGGCCTCGGCCTCCAGCAGCCTTCGGGCGCCTCTCTGGCCTCAGCCGCCCCGGGAGCTGCTGGGTGGGGAGCCCGGTGGGGGGCATTTTTCAGCCCTCACCGTCCGGCTGGGACGCCGCCTGGGGCGCCTGGGTCCCTCCCTCCCCTTGAGCTTCGCCCCCTCGAGCCTGCGGGGCTTGCTAACTCCCCGCGCCTCTGGGCCCTTGTCTGTCCTCTGTCTGGGCGCCTTGCCTCCGCGGGTAAAGGCGGGTGCGGCGCAGGTGCGTGGCCGGCTCTGCGCGTTTCCCATGGCGACTCCCTCCCCGGAGACGTCCCCCTCTCACCGCTGGGAGGCTGACGACTCCAAAAATCGTGACTTGGCCCCGGTTCTCTCCTCTGAGCTACCGACTTGTCTGCAGGAACAGATGTCCATAACCCCCTCAGACGGCGCATGTTCACAGCGGCGCTCGTCCTTGCCATGTCTCAACCAAGTTAGACAGGAGGCTTGATCCCCGACTCTGCCTCGTGCTTCGCATCCCAGTCTGCGCACTTCACCCCTCTGGAATCGTGCCCTGAATGTGCCCTTAATCGCGCTACTGCGGAGACAGTTCAAACGGCACCACGGGCCACCCCCCTCCCGTTCACTGCCCCCAGTCTTGGCCCCTCAGGCTTATTCTCCCCAGAGGGCAGACTCAGAAATCAGACTGCCTGAGCTTGGGTCCTGGTTCTGCCACTTACTAGCTGTGCGACTTGGGTAACTTACTTAACCTCTCTGTGCCTCTTCTGCTTCATCTGTAAAATTAGAACAATCATAGTATCCATTTCATAGGCTTGTTGAGCGCATTAAATGAGTCAATGCAAAATGTTTAGAACAGTGCCTGACAAGCATTAAGGGTTTGTATTATTACCACTCAGCGCCTCAAGCCTTATGCTTCAGCCACACAGCTGAGCTTGTAGCTCTTTGCAGTCGGCCAGGTCTCTGCACACGCTGAGTGTTTATCTCACTGTGTAAGGCTCAGCCTAGCTAGGAAGTCTGGGCTAGGAGTCCCTTCTCTTTCCTCCTGTGATACCCCTTTTTATAGCTGTAGATGAGCTTGCTACATTGTATTCTAATTTGCTGGTTTTTTTTTTTTTAACGATTTTATTTATTTATTTGACAGAGAGAGACAGTGAGAGAGGCAACACAAGCAGGGGGAGTGGGAGAGGGAGAAGCAGGCTTCCCGTGGAGCAGGGAGCCCGATACGGGGCTCGATCTCAGGACCTGGGATCATGACCTGAGCCGAAGGCAGAAGCTTAACGACTGAGCCACCCAGGCGCCCCTAATTTGCTATATGCCTGTCTTTCCTGCCAGCTCCGGGAAGGGAGGGACTGGATCTTAGTTATCATTGTAACGTTAGTTCTAGCATAGCAACAGCTGCTTAGCACTTACATGTTTTCCAAATAACTAAGAAATAACTAAGCATGTAAACAACTGTTTCATGTTTTTATAAGTTACAGGATTTTTAATCATTAATTTGTACAGAAAAATACCTGTGACTGGGACTAGAAAAAACTCAGAGAGAATGTCCCAGCCAAAGTGCTCATTCTGGTTTGAGGTGGTTTGATTTGGGCTGGGAGAGCTGGAAGCCTATTTCTTAACAGGGTGAGGGGAAGTTGAGGAGAAGTTACAGATACAAGGGAACAAGTGATGTCCCCTTGAACAAAGCTGGAGAGTGTCAAGAGTCAAGGGCACAGGTCCACGATCTAAATCTGAATAGGAGAGACACTTCCTGAAGTGAATCTTCAGGAGAGGAAGTAAGAAACGGATGTGGGGGCAGATGAGTTTACATAGAGATCTTATTTAAGAGCTCCTATGTTCTCTGAGAAGTAGGAGGCCAGAGTGTTCACTCAACGAGAATGCAGGGCAGGAATGGAGCAGGGAAACCGGGGAGAAGGACGAACATGACAAAGGACAAGGACAAATTAGGGGAGGAGCAGAAGCTACACTCAATCTTCCATGTCTGCCCTGGAGCCACTTCAGGGTGAGGGTCCTGCTGGTGTGAGAGATCGGGGAGAAGGCTTTCCTAGCAGCTGCAGCACGGGCCCAGAGGCAGGGCCGCACCAGGACCACCCCTGCCTGGGACTATTCCTGGCCTTCCCAGAAAGGAGTCGGCAGAGCCGGACTCTGCATGGGTGAAGGGCCCTGGGAGTGGCTGATTCTGAGTTCTCATTAGGGACCCAGCCAGGGCGGCCCACCTCTCCTGCAGGGTCCCCTGGGCCTGCCAGCACTGTTAGGTTCCTCCCTACTAGAATTGCTTTCACGGGGTTAGAACGAATTCATACATGAGAGAAATTAGTCATTGCATGGTTGTGATGACTCTACTGTGACCTGTACCGTAAATCCTCTGGTAGGTGTGCACATCTCTTGTTAAGCCTAGGTAGACGGTCCTCCTAGAGCGGCGGTAACGAAACCATTTGCACACAGCTCCCCCTGGTGGTCTTCAGGCCTCACGGCACCTTTTTCATGAAAAGACCTGAGCATTATGCCTAGAGGAAGTGGGGCTGGGTCAGGAAGAAAAGAGACCAGCTCTGGGACGTCAGGGAGACGCCTACCTAAAGGGATAGGGAACGACCGGCCTTTCTCTTACCTGAGCAAAAATACCGCCTTTGCCAATTAGAAGCCCCATGCGTTTGCAGTCCTCATGGATTTCATTGACTTCTTCCTGGGGAAGGGGCTGGCTGCTCACCTGCAAATACATTTAAAATATATTTTCTATTTGGGTTTGAATTGTTAAGGACGTTATTTCCAAGAGAGGGAAAAAAAGCAACTCGAGCCATCAGTGCTCTTCTCCCTCTCAATCTCTCTCCTCGCTGTAACTGAATACAGCTATTAGAAAAATACATCTGTTAATTGCTGGATGGAATTTTTTTGGGGGTGGTGTTATTAAAAGTATTTGTTTTTATCCCAATTCATCCCAGATTCCTGAAGAAAAAGTGAAGTTGAATGCAGGTAGCCAGTGAATCTTGGCTCTGCTAATGGCTATCCTGGGAATTTGGTTCTTTCCTAGCCAAATTTGGAGTCGGCTTTATTGATGTGGTAATTCTCAACTGTTCACTTTGTTTTGCTCCTGTAAAGGGCTCATTTCACAGTCCAGGAAATGCCTCCAAAGTTACAAAGATCCAGGCTTTCCCTGGGCCACAGCAGGGCCCGGGCAGCTGGGGTGGGGCCTACTGTCCTCATCTCCCTGGCTTGTGGAATTTGCTCTTTCTCCCCCAAGACTTAATCCTCCAGGGTTAGGAAAGGTAAGCACTTGGGGGGGTGTGGGAGGCTGAGGCTGTTTCAGATTACCAGGCATCTGAGTTTGGTCTCTCCCTGGGGGGTCCAGACACGCCCCTACCCCTTTGGTGGCACTGGGCTGGGGGCCGGCGCCCCTTCTGTGTGTCTCCGGTCTTCCGAGCCTGAGTACAGACACCTCCCTCTGACTTAGTCATTTCAAGTCTGACTGTGTGTCTGCATGACCTGGAGGCATTTCCAAACTACAGACATTTGGGGCTCAGGCTTGGCCTATGGAATGAGAAGACCTGGGGCAGGCTGGGGCATCTGGATTGGTGAGATGCTTGGCAGGTACCCGCGTGGGAGTTATTGCTGTGATCCTGTCTTGAGCACCATCTCTCTTCTGTGGCACAGCTGCGGTGAGCATCAGCATGGGTCTGGCTCTCTGGTTTCACATGCATAAGGCATGATCCTGGCTCCTGGGCCGGCCCCTGCCATCCTTGTGAGGCACAGGAAGACTCCCTCCAGGGGTTCCAGCTTTGTTCTTCTCGGGGCTTCCTACCCACCCTCCCTCTAGGCTTCAGTATCCATCCCCCGCCCCCACCCACCCAACCCTTCACTCCCGCTGAAGTCTCAGTGTTCCAGCACAGAGTAAGACTGGATCTCCCAGGGATGCTCACATTTTTGTCTGTCTTAAAGCTTCGAGATAAGGAAAATAATATTCAGACTTTCACACTGTTAGATAACGAGGACTTGGGATGGGGGACTAGACCAGGATCTTCTCACTGATCCTAAAATGTCTTTGTGCATTCCTGCTTGCCCCTGACGTTCTCATCGAGTAGACGGAGAAGACTAATACATGACAAAATAATTGAGGTAACCTGTGAGAGCTGTCAAGTGGTCAAATACGGGGTGGGAATAGTGAGGCGTCAGAGGGCACTCAGCACCCTCTGGAAAGGTTTTCCTGGGGGAAGTTGAGTTGGTGGGGCCTTGCTGGGCAGTTAGGGTCTGAACAGGTGGAGTTTGGCCTCACTCTGGACTGGGCCAGCACCGTTCCTGTTCCCTTGCCCATTTTATCATCCCCTGGCCTCAACTGCTGTGACTAATTGAACATCTTATATGCATTCCACAGAGAAAAGCAGGGCTGAAAACTCTGAGGCACAGCCCTGGGACCGCTGCCCAGGCCCTGTGCTCAAGCCTGTGTCCCAGCTGCTTGATAATCGAGTGGGCATGTTCCTAACCGACCTCTTGGTGGGTGTGTAATGTCTCTTCAGGTTTACCTTTTTTTTGGCCCCCACCTCCCGTAAATCTGCATTTAAATAAAAGTAATCCATGTTTATTGAGAAAAAAGCCTTAAACTGAAATGGAGGTGCATAAAGTAAAATGGAAAGTTTCCTCTCCCCCAATCTTACTCCTAGGTTCATCTCCTGTTGATAATTTCATGTGAACCAGACACTTTTTCTATGTGTGCAAATACATCTATATGCATATTTAGAAAAATGAGTCATACTTTATAAGGTTTTCCAATTTGCTTTTAACAATTTACAATATATCTTTGACATCTTTCCATGTCATTGTATTGGGACTTCATCTTCTTAAAGGTTACCTGATATTTCAGAGTTTATTGGTAATTTGTTTGATCATTTATTGTTGGACATTTATGTTGTTTCCAATTTTTTTTATGATTATAAACAATGCCACAAATATCCCTGCTCATCTATAACTTTCAAACTTCTATGAGTATTTGTTTCAGACATATTTCTAGAAGTTGAATTGCTAGGTCAAGATGCATACATTTAAGATGTTGATAGATATAGGCAAATTGCTGTCTAAAGGACTGTACCAATATATGTCCTCACCAACAGCAAATGGGAGTTTCAATTCTGGGTTATGGTGGACAGTGTTATACCCAAGTTCTGAGCTGTTGTAATTATGTGAACATGGTCTGAATTGTTGCAGGGACCTGAACTCAGTCAACACACACTTTTAAAGTACTTACCATCTGCATGATTCCTGGCCTCAAAACTGTATAACTTATTTAGGAAAGTAAGATACTTCTGCATGAAAACCGAATCAACAAATACATGGTTTTGAAAGATCTGTTCAAAGGAGTTTTTTAGGGAGTGGGTGCTAGAGGGATTCTCTGAGGCCTGGAGCCCCTGTATGGGGGAGAAACAAACAAGCTTTAGGGTGTGAGTTGGATCTAGATAAGGGCTAGAATTTCCACAGGTAGATACAGACAGGAGAGTCCTGTGGTCCATGGTTGGGGAAAAGTTTGAGTGGCATTGGATGTAGGGAAATGAATGGCATTGAGTGGACTTTGAATGGAACTAAAGAATCGGTGAGCTGGGATGTAAACCTGGGTGGTCTGCCTTCAGAGCCCATGTTTAACACTACCAAATGGCAGAACTCATTTGATAGATACAATTTGATAGCCTGTTTTATTTTTTCCATCACACAGTTTGCACACCTTTCCTGTCAAACATATAAATATGCCATTGTGGGATGGATGTACTATAATTTAGCTTGTACTGTATCAGTGGCCATGTGGGAGGATGCTGATGTTTAATCATCACAGATGAAGTCCTGATGAACAATTTGTTCATGTGTCTCTAAGCATGCAGAAGCTGGGTTTGGAACAGTGGGAAAGAGAAGAACCGCTCCTCTCTCATTGGGTTTTCCTCTGTGGAGTCTGGACTTTGAAGCGTAGATATCTTTGGGGGAACTCCTGGGTTGGGGACTAGGATGGACTCTTCTGAGCCTTAAAACACCCTTGATTGGGCCACAAGCTGAAGATAAGTATTTGTGGCTTGTGAGCCAGAGGGCCTAGTCTCATCTTACTCTTATTTTGCTGTTGTCTTCCCTTAGCTTTAAAATCTTGTTTAAACATTCCAGCTTTGTATGGACTCTGCTGTGTGGCATTAACGGAAGAGTCTTACATCCATGGTCTGGTCTGAGTCCTAAAATAATTGAACATCAACCCTCCTAAACTGGGATGCTGTGTTAAGATCAAATAGCAAGAAACCACTTAAGAGAAAGTTGGACAAGAGTTAGGGTGAAGGGGTTAGTCTGACTCTTCACCTTGGGGCCAAGATTCTCCCCCTGTTGCTCCTCTCAGCGGGTCTAGGCTTTGCTTTTATGGAGGAGAGGGTCATGGGCTGCAGGGGCAGCCATGGAGACACAGGGAAGGATTTGAGAGATGTAGCAAAGAAAGGATCAACAGGATTTGGCACTAGAAACAAGGGAGAGAAGGAGTCACAGGCTGGGTAATTGGGAGAACCGTGGAGGGTGAGAAACAGAAACAGTGAACTGGGAGGGATAACTAGTTTGGGGGAAAATGCCAAGTTTAATTGTTGTCATATTGAGTTTGAGGCCACAGTGGGAAATGTTATCAGAAAATCACACCCTGCCTGGTTACTTGGGAGATGGAAAATATTCACAAATTCAAAATCCTATAGATCCTTAATGTCCTCACCCCAAACCATCATCCCAACTCTCTCCTGGTCTTCTCCCTTACTTTCACGAGCTCTCTGGGCCACCTGCTGCTCTCCAAATAACTTCCTTCCTTCCCCATATGTCCAATTCTAAATATTCAGTCATCACCAATGTTCTTTGCCTTGAGTGGCAGGAAAAATATCATCTCCCTGTTCCAAATGCCCTCCCTCACTCCTCTAGAACTCTTGATGACCTGCTAGTGTTTGGCACTCACTCCCTGTTTATCTTGGCTGAGCTTGGTGTGCTCTCTCCCTGAGAATGAATGAAGTGATCTTGTAGCTCATGCTTCCTCCTTTAATTCTTCCCGACCCCAAGAAGTCACAGAGAGCGCAGCAGATCAGAACATACCTTATCCTTCACCATTTCTATTCCTATCATGAGGCCTTTGCCTCGGACATCTCCGACAATCTCAAACTCATCCCGCAGCTCAGCAAACTTCTGTAGCATGTAGGTGCCAACTTCTTGACTGTTTTCCTGTAGCTTTTCTTCTTTAATCACCTGTTTAGAGAAAGTCCCAAATGGTCTTGCATTAAAAAAGAAAAGTTCTAATATTGACTGAGAAACACAGAGAGGTAAATGTGTATGACCTTCTTTACAGAAACTTGACCAGACACTTGGAACCCAAAGTCTAATGTGACCATGCCCTGTACTACAAAAAGCTTTGCTGTAAGGAGAAAAAAGAGGCTTGGTATAGGGGATACTTTCCCCAAACCCTCCTCATCTTCAGGGGTGATTAAAAATTTAGGAAAGAATAAAAGACATGTCTCAATGCAGTCTGTAACACAGATGCCATAATCTTGAGGATCATTATTGCCAGGCTTGGCTGAGAGGAGGATACTGGGGTGAAGAAGACAAATGTTCTGGGGGAAGACCTGTCACTGATCCTCACCCTACTGGGAACTTACTGACCTATGCGGAACAGCCAGACACAGATTGTCATTGCCCAAGTGTTCCACTACAAGGCCGTGGCCTCGCAAGCTGAGTGAAGCCCTGTGTGGGCCCAGAGCCAGGGCCCTGAAGATACAAAAAAATTTTCACCTACTTCTACTCATGGCAGAGACCTGTGATTTTTGTCTACTACATACAATATGCTACATTTATATTTAGCTGATAATAATTGCATGACTTCATGACTTAAGACCTGTTTGTTCACCTAAATCCTCTCTACCTGGTAGAGGTGACACAACACTTAAAAAAAAGCTGGCCATGTCTATAAAATGAAGTAAATGACACATTCCTACCCTCGCTTTTCATTTTGTGATTTTATCATACTTGAAGATACTTTTTAATCAGCAAGGGAAGCTTTTACTCACTTATTTTTATTTAAAAATGCTCAAAATTTTTTGAATAGGTGAATCATGTGCCTCATTCAAAAATCAGAATGTATAAACGTGTATGCAGTAGAATGATCCTTGCTGACCCCTGTCCCCCAAGCTGCCAAGTTTCCCTCCCCACAAACAACCGCGGTGAGTCGTGTCTTGGGCATTCTTCCAGTAATACCCTGCACTTACTTAAGCAAATGCTCTCATGCACATTAGCAAGGGCATTTAACAGAGGGGGCACCAGGGAAATTCGGGGTCTGAGGCTGAACAACAGCTGAATTACCTCATTGGTCTCACTGAACTCAGTTTCTCTTTATGACTGTACAACAAAAGGAAGGAAGAATGAATATAAAGGACAGGCCAAAATTAACCCAAATTCAAGGGTAGCAGTTGGTGACTCTCCATCACATACCACTCAAATAAAAAAGACATTTCAGTGCTCCCAGCTAGCGACATTTTCTTCTATTTCCCATGCATATGAGGTTTCTTATAAATTATTTTGTGTCTAATGCTTCAAACGCCCAAACTAGATCTTTAAAAAGGGGTGAAGGGGCAGAATAATAACGGGAAATCTAACTTAAATTCATGCACTGGTAATTACCTCTTCACTTTAATAATGTGAGTGATAGAGGTTGGATAATGCACATGTGGTTTTGAAGTAGCCATTTGGTGAACTGAGGGATGTTAACCTGGCTGCTGGAACGTACCTCGAGCACCGCTGACCCAATGGCACAGACCATGGGGTTCCCTCCAAAGGTGTTGAAGTGAAAAATGCGTTTAGCCAGAGACTTGGCAATCTCTAGGGAAGAAAATAAAAGGTGGTTAGAGAGTGAGACATTCCTATCTATAATCTCCCATCACACCATTTGAATTGTATTGACTTTTGTGTTGTATTAGTAATGTATTTCATGGCATCGTATCCAATTCATTCTTCATTCACCAGAGAGTGGATGTTATGGATGGAATTATGTGTCTCCCTGCCTTGCTGACCCCTCTTTAGATGTTGAAGCCCTACTCCCAGTGTGAATGTATTTGGAGATGGGGTCTTTAGGGAAGTAATTAAGGTTAAATGAAGCCACAAGGGTAGGGCCTTTATAAGACTGGTGTCTTTTTAGAAGAAAAAGAAACACCAGAGCTCTCTCTCTGAGGAAAAGGACATGGAAGGATGCAGCAAGAAGTTGGCCATCTGCAAGAGAGATCTCACCAGAAACCAACTTTGCTGGCACCTTGATCTTGGACTTCCAGCTTCCAGAACCATGAGAAAATAAATATCTGCCGTTTAAGCCACCCAGCATGTGGTGTCTTGATATGGTAGCCCTAGCTGACTGATCCACTCATCCAGTGGCTAAGGAAAAATTGCTTATTCACTCAATGAGAAGTGTGATAACAAACTCTTTAATGTGTTGTGTGAATTGAAAAGTACCTTCACATTGGATTTATAGGATTTTACATGGGACCTCCATTAGTTTACCTTTTTTTCTGTATTATACCCTTGGGACTAAGAAGGAAATATTTTTTTTTTTTAAAAAGATCACATCAGGGGCGCCTGGGTGGCTCAGCCGTTTAGCATCTGCCTTCGGCTCAGGTCATGATCCCAGGGTCCTGGGATCAAGCCCCACATTGGGTTCCTTGCTTGGCAGGGAAGCCTGCTTATCCCTCTCCCACTCCCCCTGCTTGTGTTCCCCCTCTTGCTCTCTCTCTCTGTCAAAAAATAAATAAAAATCTTTAAAAAAAAAAAGATCACATCAAGGATTTAGTAATATAATTTCTGGATTGTTTCAGGGTGAGCATATATTTGGTTCATTGTACTTCACTTTCTACATCCACATTTTAGTACCTGTAACAGGTAGAAACTTAGCATGTCTGATTCTATATTGCTTCATTTTCCCTTGTTGTGACCTATAGCTTAGAAACTTCTGCATGTATGCAGACATGTTAATCACTGAAGGAATTTTGCTTACAGCTGAGATTTGCAAAAACTGTTTTTTTTTTTTTTTTTTACCTGAAACCTGTATCACTTGAGGAGATAAGGAAGTACAGATAGAAATGCCGATGCTATGGTTAAGATTTATAGGAACGACATGACCAGATTCCTGTAGGCAAAGATCAACTGACCAAGGACAAAGAAACTACAAGACCTTTCTCAGATGTCTACAAACGTTGTCTACATCTCAGATGTCACCTTTGTCTCCAAGCCCGTCAAGCTTCCCCCTTTTGCTAACAAACAAGGAGTTTGGACTTCCTGCCCAGGGGAGATGCTTCTTCAGGGTGATCGTCTGCCATCTCCCCAGTTTGCTGGCTTTTCTGACCCCAATATCTCGGCTCTCAAATTATTGGCCTTTCATGTGGAGAGCAGAAGGAGCTTGGACTCAGTAACATATCTTTATTCATTCAGTAAAAACACTAAAATATCAGAGCACTTAATTATCCTGTAGTATCTCTAAAGTGTGCTCACTACTGTTGGGAAGAACAAAAACAATTTAAAGATTTTTAATGATAAATTGTTCATAAAAATCATTTTCTGTAAAACCTCACTAAAACTGGAAATAGGGTTTATGCTTATGTTCATTTCATAGACTATTCTGGCTAAGTGAGATATATTGTTTTGGGCTGTTTTGTTGATGAGACAGAAATGGAGAAAACTGTCCACTCTGGACCCTGCGTTTATAACATATTGGAATAGCAAGACCAAGAGTCTCCTTCAGAATGTGATTCCTTTGGAAATGTCACTGGGACCAACTTCAGGTTGGTTAAAAAGGATCTCTTTTGTGGGTTTTGTTTTTGTGGCACAGTTTCCTATACCTTGTTGGAGGGTGAGAACCCTGCATTGCATTATGGGCGTAGGAGGAGTACCCTTCCCTGCAGCAAGAGCAAAAAGGCCTGGCTGTCTTCTGTCTTTTCCACAATCTGGCAGACTGTTTCTCTTTATCATTGCTTAAGAAATGCAAGTATAATTCCCATCACTGTCTTCAACCCACACAAGTTCCAAAATACCTGTTTTCTACCATCACTGATGCAAGAGACCTGGAAGCAAATGCCACTTGCCTGCTGGCCCTACCTGGAGTTGTCACCACTGCTGCCATGGGAAAGCCATTCCCAATCCCTTTAGCCATGGTGACAATGTCTGGCAGGATGCCATGGGTTTGGAAGCCCCAGAAGTGAGAGCCCAGCCTTCCAAATCCTGTCTGCACCTGATGGAAACAAATCCCAAATCATTGGAAACCTTTCAAGAAATGACGGCTTTTCTGACTGCGATTGCCTCCCTTTCTTCGACTCTTCCTCTTCCATACCATCATGGCTCGTCATCAGTATCGCCATCTTTGTGTGATCATGGACACAGCACTTAATCTGTGGCTGAACTTTTAGTTACCAGAAACCATTTACTAGCTTTGTGGGATTTTGGATATATTCATGAAGTCCTCTGAACCTATGTTAACTCTGTTAAGTAGAAATAGTAATAGCAGTACATCACAGGACTGCTGTGAGGGTCATAAATAATGCACATAAAAGGAACATTCTGGTTAGCAATCCTTAATAAGGATCTCCAGTGGGTAAGGAAGCAAGGGAGAAGCTGCTTCTGTCCGGCTGGACGAAGGAGTCACAGGGAGTGGATTGGGGCGGGTATGGTTGCCGCCTGGCCCACATAGGCTAGTCACTCTCTTCCCTGTGATCTCCTTTCCTTCCTGAGAATTATGTCTTGAGATGATCCAGTTAAGCCAGTTAAATCAGGATTGAACTAAGTCAACTTTAGTTTATTTGTGCATGCTTTTTGCCCTCTTTCTAGAAGACACTCTCCCTGCTTCTTTATCTCACTAACTCCTCTTGTCCTTCAAAACATAGCTTCATCATCATTTGGTCTAAGTTTCCTGAGTCCTAGTAGGGTTCCCCCTCGAGGCCCCTAGGCATGCTGCCATCAGAACCTCTCCTCTTGGACTACTGTCATCACTGTATGTGTCCGATGACAGGGACTGTATCTTATTCCTCTCTTTCTCCACAACATCTGGCAAAGTGCCTGATAAAAGTCAGAATTTAGCAAGTAGAATGAATACAGAAGTAGCCGAAGTGCCTAACTGAATAAAGCCACACAGACATTTCCACGCAAATTGCTGCCAGAGCCTTTCTGGTAAAATCTCCTTGAAATAATAACAGTGGGGCATACCTTATAGAATTGTTATTATATATATCTTACAGATAGTTCTAGCAATTCTTATCTTCCCTTAGTCATTAGGACAATCCTTCTTAAGTTCCCCCTGTGTTAGGTAGTTTCTAATTATGTCCTTGAAAGTGATAAAACCGGGGCACCTGGATGGCTCAGTCGGTTGGCCGGCTGACTTGGTTTCGGCTGGGGTCATGATCTTGGGGTCCTAGGACTGAGCCCCATGTGGGCTCCATGCTCAGCAAGGAGTCTGTGGGAGATTATCTCTCCCTCTGCCCCTCGCCCACGCTCATGCACTCGCTCACTCTCTCTCTAAAATAAATAAATAAATCTTTATAAAAACAGTGATAATACCATCTATCTTAGAAAATTCTGGAAGTCATATATTTTTAACATTTAATCTTCTTTCTCTCATTAGTCCAACTGCGGCCGCTTCACTGTGTGCTGATTCCAAAGGTTAGAGTTGATTCTCTCACTGACATAGCAAATTGTAAGCTAACAGAACATACTTTTCTTTTCTTTTCTTTTTCTTTTTTTAATAGCCATTAACTTTCTTCAGGACTTTGATTGGTTTGCCTTCCCTAAACTCCCAGTGGCAGGTCGGGGAAGGGGGTTGGGCTGGCCCTCGCTTACGTGTGCAGCGCTCTGGGGCCCATCCAGGTCACCTGGGGGTACCAGACACCTGGCTGCAAATCAGGAAATTGCGAAAAAAGTTTTGCAGAGGGGAGAGCCCAAAGACCGCTGTAGGGAATGTTTAGTTGAGGGAAAATGTTCAGGCCAAAACAGCAGGACTGAAACAGGTGTGAAACACATTCACAAGCTCCCCACCTATTCTTGGTGCGTGTAACCACTTGTTAGTAGAATCATGACCGGTCACCCAGGAGTGAGCCGGGAGCACTCTGTGGTCCTGGCGACCATCCTCTGGTCCTTTGACCTCTTTTGCTATTCTTGGTAGACAAAAGACTGCTGTCTTTGATATACTCTAATATGAGGTGGGATTATGATTAAATTGATGCCTTTAAAAGAGATGGAGGCTAAAGCTCACAGAGCCAATGAATTTTACTCCCTTCAGAGTGTGCCCTTGGAGGTATTATCCACCAATGCTGCCTTAACTCAAGCTATTTTAGAATTTTTTTGGAACTAGTTTTTAAATATTTGTAGTGGTGGCCCTCTTCTCTCTGAGAGACTGCATTATTTTCCTTTTTTTTTTTTTTTTTAGGGGGGTAGGGACAGAGGGAGAGTGAGAGAGAATCTTAAGCAGGCTCCATGCCCAGTGCAGAGCCTGAGCTGGGGCTTGATCTCACGATGCTCAGATGGTGACCTGAGTCGAGATCAAGAGTCAGACGCTTAACCAACTGAGCCACACAGGCGCCCCGTGCATTTTTTTTCTTTTAATGTCTTTTCCAAACAAGTTTTGTTATTAAGGTAAGATGAATGCTGCCAGGCTGGTTAATACCATTTTGGCAAAATTAGGATAAAAACTTGGTTATGAGATTAAATTTCCTATGTGGTTTTTGAGCTGCACCTGACACAATCCCCAAATGGGAATGTAGAAAGTGCCTTGGGTGATGACAGTGTCATCTGTGCCCACTAGCCACTCATTTGATAGACTCCAATTTGGGTATTTAAGTTCTGTTGTGCTTGCTAAATGGACCAACTAATCCACTAACCAACCAGTCAACTAGCAAAGGCTTCATTAATTCATACCCACATCCTGGAATTCCCACAGATGATTTTTGTCTTGGATTGCAGAGGAAGGTTTGAAGAAGTTTCTCCCTGTGCCTTTTCTGTCCTGGCTCCCTCCACCACAGCCCCTCCACTGCTGCTCACCTCATCCACGATGCACACGCCTCCCCGCTCTCTCACCAGCTCGAAGGCTTCCCGGAGAAACCCCTTTGGGTACTGAACGACTCCGTTCACCCCCTGCAAAAGACCAAACCAAGGAGTCTCTAAGAACAGAATAGCCCTTTGAAACTATTAAAAAAGAAAAAAAAGAAAAAGAAAGAAAAAGAAAGAAGATAGATCATTATCATCAGTAGCATTAGTAATACTAAAAATTTTTTAAATGGTCTTTAGAACTGTTCCAGCTATGGGTGAAGAGAGGGGCCATTATTCTATGACACGCCTTTTGGGAAAAGGACACAAATGCTTACTCTCTTCTGAGATTAGAAACAAATTAGATTAAGGGGATTTGGTAAAGTTGAAGAAAGGGTCCCCCTGACAGTGTGGGTATTAAGCAACTAAAGTTTGCTAAGGTTTCCTTTTCTTCAGAATCCTAGGAATTCAATAGTTTCATCTATCTGTTCAGCTCAGGAATGCAGGAGACGGGGTTTTGAAGGTCAGTAGAAAATCAGGGGCCCTCTTTTTTCAAGGAGACCAAGAGAATGAATTGAATTTGGAGAGGGTCACAGCAATGGTCACTTAAATATTTTGGAATTCTCTAGAATGTATGAGTTAAAACTCTCTGATAATTTAAAAGTCAGCCCAATTAATGTCTAAGGTCAATATACCCACTTGAATTGGCTCTGCAAAGAATCCAGCAATTGATTTGGCCACAGAAGTGTTCAGAGTATCTTTGAACTGTTCAATATACTGGTCCTTTGCTTGGCAGCAGTCTGCAAAAACAAACAAGAACCACAAACAAACAAACAAACAAACAAACAAACAGGAGATGTGAGAACGGCATTCAGTAGAATGGCGGAAACATAGAAAAAAAGAAAATAGGATGAGTAGATTGGCTAGAATCCTTAGGATACAGTAAACAGGAAATGAAGATATAGAATTCTGAAGGAGGGGACATTCTTTTGGAACAATTTGTACTTCGGTTTGAGCAGAGAAAGTAGGATAACCATAAAAACACTTCAGTCATTTCCATCCGGGGAAGAAATGCCCCAAAGTATCACTGAGTCTGGAATACTGAGCTATTTCACCCAAGGATGCCTATCCTCTCAACCGCGGAGATTTAATTCAAATGTAATTGGAGTGTGGATTTAATCTATTTGAAAATAAATCTATTTATCTTCTATTGTCGCTTAATTTGATGTACAGTTTTTTTTAAATGACTCTTGCAGTCAACTATTTTTATTTTAATATTTTATTTATTTATTTGACAGAGAGAGAGACAGAGAGGGAACACAAGCAGGGGGAGTGGGAGAGGGAGAAGCAGGCTTCCCACAGAGTAGAGAGCCCAATGCGGGGCTCGATCCCAGGACCAGGGGATCAGGGCCTGAGCCAATGGCAGATGCTTAACGACTGAGCCACCCAGGTGCCCCTGATGTACAGTTTTAAAGCTACAGAGTGTCTCAGTCTTTAGAGTTAATAAATATGTTTATAGAACAATTAGAATCTGGTCTAAAGAGGGATGTACTGGAGCCAGACAACGTTCATCCATGGTAGCAAGGGAGAGGAAGCCTTCTTCTCTGGAATACCAAGGGTCCCAGATTGACTGCATCCATACATGATTGAACCTTCAGAATTTTTATCCACGCTTCTAATTTGATTCTAAACAGCACCACACAGTTTCTGAACTTAAGCCTATATCCACGGACAGCAGAAGGGGTGCAGAGGGAGGTGTGGACGTGACAGAGCCCCAGACCCAGTGACGTGAAAGCAATCTGGGAAGAGAGCCCACCACCTACCATCCTAGCACTTGCTTAGTTGCATGGATATAATCCTATCTTCTGACGTCTAGAGATAAGGGACAGAAAACTTCTGTCATCATCATCAAAACGGTAGCACAAATTATATTTTATACTTCAGCTCTTCATTTAAAAATGGGAAAAAAAAAACCACTCCCTGGCCCCAAACATATTTTAACGTACATGTGATATTTGGGAAAGCTTGTTTTGGTTAGTTGGAGTTGGGGGTTGGAAGTGTGAAGAAGGAAGTAATGAAAGGGGTATCAAACCCAGAAAGCACATTTTTAGCATCACTTAAGTTGTTTGATGAGCAGGATATACTAGACAAATAAATCTAAGCCTCTAGAGAATGGATTCTTAAATTTTTAGTAAGAAAGGAAGAGAAAACAGCCAAAGATGACTCTGAAGGGTGGATAGTAAACTCAAGAGACCTAATCTGGGCATTTAGCAAGCCGAGCAGTAACTAGAGAGATCAAAAGGTAGAACAAAAGCAACCCTAGTGGCTTAAATTGGGACAAAACTAAACTGAGAGGTTTTGCTTAAACCCGTGATAGACCTTTAATGATCTGTCCCCGACTGCCCACAAGTTCAGTGATGAGAGGGGTCACCTGCCGTAATCAGCTTATTTCATTTCACATTTCACATTTCCTTCCTGAGCTCATTGCTGTAACTCTAGGTCAGGCTGCTTCCGCAGAGGGACGGGGTGCAGTGGCGTTGCCATGACAACACCAAGGGTGTGAAGAGTGGATGTTCTGGATACCATGCGAGCAACAGAGACGAGACTGAGGAGTTTTTATCTTAGCTGCTAGTATGGAAACAGTTAAATGGAGTGAAAGGTCAAGAAAGAACAATTCGTAAGGAAAAGGAAACTCATTTTGCAAAAGGTGAGGAAGAATGACATGATGGGTATGAGGTCTGGGGCATTGTGGGGGCAGTGGGCGTTAAGAGGTGAATGTCATCACAGGTGACATCTGAAATTCGGGGTCTGGAACGAACACTCAGAAAGACAAAAACCTGACAGAAAGAGAGAGGAAGGTAACGGAATCTCCCACAGCAACAGCTAGATCAGGCTCACAACATGGACCCCTGCTTATGCCCAGGTGGACAGTGATGACATAATCCGGAAGTAAAAGAACTTCTACCAAGATTGGCACCTGTATGCGCCCAGTGAATGAACCCTAAGAAGAACTGAGAACTGGAATCCTCTATACTCAAAGTTGGCTTGCATTTGCAAACATGTGAATCTGCCTTTTTACAGCAAAAGCCAAACACTTCTCAGCTCCCCAAAGCCCTGGAGGAGGCTGAAGTCCCTTTTGGTATTCCTATTCCGTTTAAATATATATCAGCCATGTCTCTTGAAGATGGGAGTTAAGAAAACAGCTGACTTCAGATATGTCAAAGACAACAGTCCAGAGAAGCAGAATGTATGTCTGTCACTATCATTTAACCTCCAGATGCCACTAGGGAGATGACCATGGCGTTCCAGCATTTTTAAGTTGGCCTAGAGCCAAGGCCTCAAAGAGGGAGGAGGCAGAGAGGGTGGAAAGAGAGAGGGACCCACAGTGGGGAGGGAAGGCAACGGGCATCTCTTGAGCGCTTCTGTCTGCTAGGCTCTGCGCTCATGCTTTTATGGTCAGGTTGAAGTCTATGAGGTGCACGAAACCGATTTTAGTTCTTGATGCCCTTGAGGTTGGATACATAGGTCTGGCTCTACGGGTACTCTTGACATTGCTGTTGTCTGCCTTCCTGTACAGAAAGCTCTCTTCTCTTGATCTCACAAAGCCTGGTAATAAGGTACTGCTATCTCCATCTTACAAAGGAGAAAACTGACACAACAGATAAGAGCATTTGCTCATGGCTGAACCAACCAGGGGCTGGGAGTGGAATCCAGGTCTCCAGACTTCACGGGTCTCCTCAACCCTGGCCAGCAGAACGGGAATTATTGTTAAGCCTGGGTTCATCCTGCTGGGATGTCAGTGTTCACAAGGATGGCCATAGGCTAGGAGCACTGGTTTGGAGTCAGAAGGCTTGGGCTTAAGTCTTAGCTCTCCAGCCTCCCCGCTGTGGACCTTGGTTTGCTCATTTTTAAAATGGAGAGTTATATATATATACCTTTAAATCTCCCTACAGTTTTCAGTTCTGTGACCATGACATCCTGTTTCAATGCTCATTCTTTTATCTTCCTACCTCCATTTTGCCATTATCCCATCTGAATTTTAAGGGGACTGTGAATTTTCTTCCTTTCAAAGCTGATTTTTTAAGACTGCCATTCCATTTGCATTCTTTTTCTCGACCCCGTGAGTCAGATTATTCCATCAAATATCTTTGGCAGAAGCCTTTAGCTCTTTCTTTCAGCACTACTCAGGAGCAGCTATTCAAAGGTCCTGAACTGTGCCAACATGCATGAGGGGAGACCTGTTGATTAGCAAAGAAGAGATTCTTCTTCCAAGCCTTGTCTCATGGTAAGAAGAGGTAAAGAATGAAAATAAAAACGTGATGGGTAAGTGGAAACCTCCCTTTCGAGAAAGCCTTTAAAACTTTTGCAAGAGATGTCAGCAGCTTTTGGGAATGGCCTTAAGCTTTGACAGATGCTCTCACTTTGGCTGGTATCCCGAGTCCCTGGGGGAGCTTCTTGACTGGCATTTTGAGATTGCTAAAAGTATTCTTTTTCCCCCCTCTCCCCTTCCCCCATTGGGAACTGGTAAACAATTCCACCAGCCTTGTTTTCTTTTAAAATTGATAGCAGAACTGTTGCTAATAGAGCTAACAGATCTCCTTTAATTAAGTACCAAGTGATAGTCTGTTTAGCTTAGCTCTGATAGCGTGAGATGCTCTTCCTCACAGCCAGATAGCACCGTGGTGGTGGTGGGCAGGAGAAACGTTGATTCTACGGGGGTGGGGGCTGGTGGGGGGGGTGGCTTTCTAGTTTTGTTTCCTTTGGCTTTTTCCTTTTCCAATTTTTTCCAATCTGTTTACTCAGGAATGGTTCAGTCTTTCTCTAGTTTCCTTACCCCTCCTGACCTTCCACCACGCACCTCCCTCCCTGCCCCCCTTGAACCTGGTGCACAGCTGCATTTCCTCATTGTTTGCACCGGAGAATCTCGGCAGTGGCTTCCTCCCCAAGGGCCACGGAAAACATCTGGGCACATTGTCTGCAAATGACAAAAGAAAGAATTCGTCAAACCAAGAAGACAAGGTAGCCAATTTGAAGGAGCATGTGATACTGATCAGGGTAAGAGGGCTTCTTAACTTGATATTGAGATTCCCCCCATGCTCCTCTCCCACCTAGGATGAAACCCTAATATTTTGGTTTGAAAAGATAATTTTTTTCCTAGAAATCAGTTATGTGGGCACTTTACAAAGGAGACTGATTGCAGTGTCAGCCTGGAAACAACTCGCTCAAGAGTTTGGTGAGTAAGGGCATCTAAAAGAAGAGGAATAATTAGGTATCTGATTCTTTTGCTGAGGTGGGTACATAGCAAGTGAGAACAGGAGGTGAGTACAGAGACGGTTCTATAGAAATCTTACACACTCAAGGCTCTGAGAACTAATTTCAATGCATTTTTTTGTTGTTTACTTGATCTTATTTAAAAACAAAACAAATTTTAAAGATCTCTATCACGAATTATTACTCAGACTCTGAAGGCCTTTCTAATAAACATTTCCTCCAAGTTCAACTAAGTCAAATTCAGCCCCTGATTAACGATAGGCTTTATATTCATTTCTATTCCTAATACCTGGACAATCTGATCAATCATACCACGTACCCAACAGCCTTTAGAGAACCAAGATAAAAATCTCAGAACTCACCGATTGGCAGCCCAACCCGCTGGGGAGCTCCATCTTGTAGGACCCTACGTTTGTCAGGCCAAGTGTGTAAGGACTGCACCCATGGTAGGCTCCTCTGCAGAGAAGAAGCAGTGAGAAGGTAGGGTTAAGTTCATTTTTCTTCGATTCACCATGTTAATAGAACACCATTAACATGCAACTCCAGTGATTTCTAAGAAATCTTCTAAGGCTATGCCAGGAAAATTTACTTATTTGTCTTTTCTCCTGGGGTCATAGATTTGAAGTGGCGAAAGGAAGCTTTGGAGAACATCTGCGCAAGAACTCTGACCTTAACTGCTGCCCTACTGGATTACTTTACAGTAGTGAGACTCATCTTTTAGCAACATGCCAGAAATTAGATATTCAATGAGCATTAGTCTTTAAAGCAGTCACCTTGAGAAGCCAAATATTTGTTCCTGAGATGTGGCTATTGCACAAATGTCTCATAAGCCACTTTATTTGGCATATAAGGAACACAGGTTTTGTTTCTTTTTGAACCCACAACTATCATATTTAATATAAATCATCCTAATCACCAGTCTTGGCTTCAAATGGGTTTTGACAGTTCCTCAAATCAAAATCACCCTTACACGAGGATTTATGACTATCAAGATGATTCAAAAGGATGGTCATCTATCTTGAAGGAGGAGACACAAAGGTGTGTTGAGCCCTAGTAACACATGACTGCTTTGAATAGATCAGCACTTATCTGGACATGTATATTCTGGGATGTTTATTTGGGTAAAACATCAATCACATTTTTTTGTTGCCATATTTCTTTGATAACAAATATTTCCTTACTCCTGTAGTTACTACATGTGTGTTTTATATGGAATGTGCAGTATTGGATGTGCTGTGGTAATCAAATCTTCTTTTGAATTGAGACAGAAATTATGGCCAGACAGGTGACAGAATGGGACTATCTCTTCATTCCATCTACTTTGACTGTAAGTCACTCTTTGACATAAAGCTTATTATAAGAGCCTCTTTCAATGTACTATATAAAATGACCCAAAGGAGGCAACTGTAAGCAAAATGCTTTGTTTTCTATTATTTTTAACGCTAATATAGCTGCCCAGGGTTTATAATTAAGTTATTAAATTATCAATTTTCAAAAGTCACCCGAAGAAGCAGAAATATACAGGTCAAATATGCATCCTCTGAACTTAAAGAGAATCAAAGGTAAAAAAATCTGGGGTAGCTGGCACTAAGAGGAAAGTAGAGGGCTCCTTAGCATAAGCAGAGATGAAAATGGGCCCACTGTCATATGGTAGAGCCATGAGCATCCATGGGTATCGACCAGTCATTCACCACTCAGCATATGTTCTGGTCAATACCATACCTTCAAAGTAAAAAAAAAAAAAAAAAACAACCCTGACATATGACCATCTCTTTAATTTCATAGGAGGATCAATGACATAAGTAGTACTCCAAGCTGTTTGTTAGCCCAGTCAGGGACCCCTACCTTGGATCCGGCCAATTTAGATGGGGTTATCCAGTCATAAAATTCATTTGATTGATTCTGCTCTAACACCTAAAATTAGAATGATACTCCTGGGAAAGCCCCCTTCCCCTCCAGGCTATGTTTTAAAGATGCACATTTAGTATTGGAGTAAGGCAATGTTATTGAAGTTGACTATTCCCGGGTGTGATTACCTTAATGAAATAATGTCTGTGCTATTTGAATGTGCTCTGGCCATCAGCATGGCTAGGTCATTCGCTTCTGAGCCACTATTCACCAAGAAAATGACCTGGAGGGAAACAGAGACACATGACCTCATACGTTAATTTATTGCCTTATTACCCAATTAATTCAAAATTGTTAAAGACTATTATTAAGGAGCATTCCCTTCAGACAAGCAGTCCCATCACTGAATTACTGTATTAATTCTACAGCTTTTCATTGAACAGCAGCTACGTGCTAGAGATACAAAAATGGCCAAGGATTATCCCAATTGTGAAACATTCCAGGCTTTCACTGGCTCTCTTCAATGCTCTTGGCAAAATGCCAAGATGAGGAGACATGATGAAGGGTATGGAATGGTTAGTGGGTGAGTGGATCTGAGGACTGAGTTACTTAGCTCTTGAATCTCAACCACCTGCCTGGATTCTGAAGGCTTGGACAAGGCAGGCTCCCTGATCCTGCAGCTCCAGAGGATGTCCCAGCCTGTCTATTCAGTATGTGTGAATATTGAAAAAACAAGCAAACAGAAAAAAATGCAGCTCCTCCTGGCTAAATGAAAGGGGAGAAGTGATGGGACCTCGGTCTTCCAGGCTCAGGGCCCGGGAGGCATGTGCTTATGCTTTTGCTGACATCCCTACTTCTGCTCCTCCATGAACACGCCTGGGTTGCACTTAGGTGGCAGCTGGTCCAGCTTTCTTCAGCTCTTGTAGATAATATAGTAAATAGAGAATCTAGAGAATACAGTAAAATAATACTAAAAGCCAACACTAGGTGCTGGGCACTGTTCTAGGTACAACATATATTAACTCATTGAATCCGGAAAATGCGAATCTTGGCCAACATTTCACCATCTCAGTTCAGTTAAAAAAAAACATTCAGTCATTTCAGATGCGGAAAAACATCTCATTTAGCAAAACTATCAGTTAAAAAAACATTCAGTCATTTCAGATGCAGAAAAACATCTCATTTAGCAAAACTATCTCAGTGCATCTTAGATCGAATGAACTGAATGGGATATTCATTTTATTAAAAAATGGTTTCACTCTGTAAAAGGAGACAAGCAAATGACTTGGTAGAGGGGACCTGGAGCAGAGAGATGAAAACCCCTGGAGGAACACAGAGGAGAGTGTCCAGGGAGGAGGCCTGGGCCTTCCGTGAAGTGACTCTTGCAGACATGTGGCTGCAAGGAGAACTTCCAAGGAGAGGCTGAGGCTGGGAGGGGATGAGGGAACACTGGCTGGCTTCTCCTTGATGCCTTTCAGATTTGGCGATTAGCTCACTGTTTCAGATGTTCAGTGCATGGATCAAATTCCCTGTTCATATTCCTGCTTCCTTGGGATCATGAAACTCCTGTTCCCTTGAGAGCATCATACCTTTAGAGGCTCGGGAAGAAGTGCCGAAAGCTTCTCTGCGAACTCATGGATTGGAGAGTGGAAGAAGAGGGCACTTGTGTGCCACAGGCGTCCAAGCTGCTTCTGTGCCGCCGCATTTACCTTCCTGGATAAACAGGAGAGCAGAGTTCCCCGTGCTGCCAATGGGCACACCCCCCCACCCCCCACTGGCCACTGAACCCAAACTTATGGCTATTTCTTGAGCAGTTTCAAGAGGCTGATTTCATCCACACATAGAAAGAACTCTAACCAGAAGAGCTGTCTGGCAATGGGATGGGTGGCCTTAAAAGGTCATGGGGTCTTCACCAAGGGAGGTGTTCAAACGGAGACCAGATGATGATCTTGTAGGGACTTTAGAAAATAAATTCCTACTTTAGGACATAGAATCTCTCCTAATTAGGTCTTCTTATTAAATACCCTTTGAACAGTTTGGAAACTAGAGATGACTAGATGTAAGCCTGGGTGTCTTTTCATTTATTCTTCTAAAGAAGTATAGATCCATCATGCATATGTATGTAAGAGCAACACTTCTTCCGTCAAAGGAGATGCTGGTGTCTGATTCCTAATAGTGGTCAGTGTTGATGAATGTTTGTAACTCTGAAACCATATTCTGTGAAGGATCAGAAGGCTCATGCTGAGGGATAGTAAGAACTAAGGGTAGATACGTAGGTCCTGACGAGGAGCGCTTTGAAAAGATAGGCCAGGATATTTGAACTTGATCTAAAGGACAGCAATGGCTAAAGTTACATACCAGTTGTTCATTATTAATAGCTGTTCACACACACACACACACACACACACACACAAATCAGCTCAGTGGTTAAATAAATAAATAATAATTAAATCATTTTGAGAAATACCAGATCAAACAGATTTCTTTACTGCAGGACTTGCCAGTGCCTCTGTTAGTCAAATACCCACTGTTTCTCCCCAGGAGGGAGATACAGTTTAAACTGTTTTTAAAACTTATTTTTTCATGGGACACTTTACCAACTAACCTCTCCTGCATTCAGGGTTCCATGACTCACCTTAGAAAATTGCAGAGTATCAATAAACTCTTAAACAGAAGAGGTAATTGTTAAAAGCATTGTTCAACAAAATAAACATGTGGAACACATGAGGGTAGGATGGAGTGGGGGAAGACTGGTAATGATGAGGCCAGCCAGGAGGGCAAGGTGGCCTTCTAGGTGTGGGAGGAGGAGAGCTCCTAGGAGATTGGGGTTAGTGGGAATTAGTGGGGGGCTGGTAGGAGAGGCATTTCAGTGGAGGGAAAGCTAGACCTCAGTATCAGGTTGGCTAAGGGGAGTAAAAGGCAGGGATGAGTCAAAGATGACTTCACCATTCTTCCTGTAACATCAGGGAAACTCCAGGATTAGTTAAGAGCTGCAACCAGTGGCTTCCCAGCTCCTGGCAGAGGACCTTCACAGAGTAGGCGGCTCACAGGTACGCCTTGAATAAACGAATATGTCAGTAGAAACAGTATAGTGGAGGGTATGATGGGTTTGGCCTCCGTAATGCTGGATTTCAGCTGATGGTGGAATATTATGGGGCAGGGTGGGGGGTGTCCTGGAGGCTGTGGGAAATGTGGGGCATCCTAATGCCCACTCTGGGTTTGTTAGAGTTATAATAGTAGCTTGGTGAGGGGTCAAAGTGGAAGAAACAGAGTTGGGGAAGGCTGCAGAAAGTGCCACTCATTGACCAGGAATGGGGCCCATTCTATGGGGGAGATAATAAGGCATGAAGGGGTTGTAGAGAGAAGAGCAGAAGACTAAGGAAAGAAGCTGGGACATCCAGAGTCAGGGGGTCAGAGGGCAAGCTGCAGGGTTGGAGGGAGATCAGGAGAAGCACAAAGATCATGAAAGCCGGTGAGTGGTCGACTAACAGGAACAACATCCAACATTATTAATAAGAATGTTTAAAATTTGTCTCTACTTTGTTTTCTTTCCTTCTCTCATGTGTGCTTATCACATATTTTAGACCGCCTCTGAATTTAATTTTACATGCTCCTTAGGACCTCGCATGGGACTAGTGCCTCCCGGAGACGGAAGCCGAAAGGAGAAGGCTGTGGGAGGATTAGGTGAGGCTAGACCCTGGAGTTAGAACTCGCTCTTATCACCTGACAGCTGCTGGAGGGGATGACTTTGCTCCTGCTTTCACAGAAGGACCCAAACTTATTCAGTTGATTTCGGCTTGCTGCTGTATTTTGGTCTCATGTAATGTAAGTTTTTTTTTTTTTTTTAAGATTTTATTTATTTATTTGAGACAGAGAGAATGAGAGAGAGAGAGAGAGCACATGAGAGGGGGGAGGGTCAGAGGGAGAAGCAGACTCCCCGCCGAGCAGGGAGCCTGATGCGGGACTCGATCCCGGGACTCCAGGACCATGACCTGAGCCGAAGGCAGTCGCTCAACCGACTGAGCCACCCAGGCGCCCAGTGTAATGTAAGTTTTGTTGGCCAGATGATTAAAGGCAAGAGAGAATAGGCACTAAAATGAGAGAGTGGCATCAAAACCAAAAGGACCACCAGAGAACCTGCCCAGGGCCTTTGTACGGGTGGGTTGATGACCAAGGGTCCAGAGACCCTCAGGATTAATGGATCCATGCATTTCTCATGTAGATTCCCAGCTGTGGTTACACCTCTCTCTTAGCATCCTTTCTTTCCTCATCATCTGTCAGAGGTGAGGAAGATCCTTAGGCTAGACGCGATTTCTCATCTCATCATCCCACACCCCCCAGCCAGCCGCCCCACGTGTTCTCTGAGAACTGCCTGCCTCTCTCTTCTTTCTGCCTTTCCCTCAGTGCATGGCCTCTCTCTGCAAAGCTGTTACTAGTGAGGACAAGCCCACATACACAGCCAAGCCACACTCCAGTCACGTGGTACACACCACATGGAGTGAGAATGAATCAATCTTGCATTGTCAGGAAAACAAAAAATGCAGTGTTAAGATATTTTTTTGGCACCCAGGAAATAGCAGGGAGCATGGCAGCCACAAACCGGGCTATGCCGAAGGAGAGAGAATTCTTAGCCAGACTTCTGAATCACTAACATGATCATTAGCCTGTTCTCCATATATCCTTCTGCAGTGAATACACTGGAATTTTAAGGATACTCACGGGTGGCAGTGACCGACGCTGACCGTGACAATCCCAGAAAAGAAATCCAGGTATCTGTTGCCCTCATAATCAAACAGCCACTCCATGTGACCCTGGTGAAGCAACAAAGGCTTCCGAAAATACGCAATCCGCGTGGGAATAAGATGGTGATTGTGGATCTCCAGGACACGTTCATAGGTGAGGGACTGTAGATAGGCAAAATGGAAGTGTTGAAGATCTCACATTTCTTACAAGATCAACAGCAGGTCCAAATGCAGTGCCTCGCCTCTCTACTGACTGAGCATTAAGACTGCTGTCCGGTGCCCACAGGTGGGTGTATTTGCCCCATGTCCTCCTTACCCAAGGTCCTTCCTTCCTCCCAAGTATAGGAAATCATTAATGTGGCCCTTTGATCCCTTTCTAGATCAAATATGAAGAAGGAGGCTGAGATTTTCTACCTCTCAGTGGAAAGCCTTTTCTTTGAATTCATTTCAGCTGTAGGAAAAAATAAAAAGACTATTTTTTTATTTTTATTTTTTTAAATTTAATTTAATTTTATTATGTTATGTCGGTCACCATACATCATTAGCTTTTGATGTAGTGATCCACGAATTATTGTTTCGTATAACACCCAGTGCTCCATCCAGTACATGCCCTCCTTAATACCCATCACCAGGCTAACCCCTCCCCACCCCCCCTCCCCTCTAAAACCCTCAGTTTGTTTCTTGGAGTCCATAGTCTCTCATGGTTCGTCTCCCCCTCCGATTTCCCCCCTTTCATTTAATAAAAAGACTTTAGAAGTAAATGTCTGCTGTAATGTCTTTTCTTTCTTTCTTTCTTTCTTTCTTTCTTTCTTTCTTTCTTTCTTTCTTTCTTTCTTTCTTTCTTTCTTCTTTCTTCTTTCTTTTTTCCTGCAGTTTTTTTTTTTTTTGAATGAAAAGAAAATGAAGTGCTGGTGGTGTTCATGTCTTTACCAAACTTTCTCCTATACTTCTCTTCTTTATGGGTACCTCCTGACTATTGACTCTACAATTTCTAACCTATGAGTATTTTGTATGTAGAATAAAGGGGATGGAAAGGGAGGGAAGGAGGAAGGGAGGGAGAGAGGGAAAGAGGGAAGGCGGGGAGAGAGAGAGAGAGAAAGAGAAGCCCAATATTTCTTAATCTGAGAGCAAAATTATAACTTTATATTTTGGAGGGAAGGATTCCTGAATGTCAGATCATGCATTGCTGTATGAGAGAGTCAAAACAATATTTTAGAAAGTAAATGTGTGGTACCACATTTGTGATATATTGTCTTTGTGTGTGTTTATCTATATTTATATCCCTGTGATAAATACAAATAGTCTCTTTCTTGTACTCTTGGTCTGTCTCTGCTCTGTCTCTCTCTCACACATGTACAACAATTCATGCAACAGTATTGAGTGGAGTAAGAGGGTTCAGATGCTCCCAATGACTTAAAGGATAGAATATCTAGGATGCTAGGACTCAGTGGCAGGCAGGGCCATCTGTGGGTCCTTCCTGAGGAAATGATTAATTTAGCCCTTTCAAGAAATACCACTTTCTTAGGTTTTCCTAAAGTACTGACTCTTACCTGGTATTTTTCAGGTGTGAAGTCACATGGAGGCATTCTGGGTTTTGTATGAAGACCAAGATTTGCAACAGATGTCCAGAAAGCACCTGCTGAAAGTGAAGTGAGTTAGGGTCCTCAATTAAACATCAAACAAGCCTGTTTGGAAAAATCACCTATATACAGTAATCCAAATCAAGATCCTTAGGCAATTTCATTTATTTCTTAGTTTAAAAAAATAATTCCAATTGACCTTTAGTTTGGATTTAAAAACCGAGGTATCTCAATAACAAATTTTGGGGAGGAAAAAAGGAATTTCTTTCCAATCTAGTCAACAAAAGCATGGAGGATATTGGGGGAAGTCTTGTTTTTCCCACTGTGGTCCCTCACGAGCTCCTCCACACCCTGCCCAAGGGGCTATATTTCTCTCTACAGTCCACCAAACTCTGCCACTGGGGTGCATTGCTGGAATAGATCTTCTTTGTTAATAGAGGCGCTTTCTAAGCTTTGGGCTGCGTAGTGCCCGAATCTTGGTGCCAATCCCAGTTCCTGATACCAGGTTGGCTTTTGGTAAACAGTGAATGAATGGCTGTTGACTATCCTTATAGAGAATGAGTAGAGATAGGTGGTAGGCAATGTACTGTGATAACAAATACACACAAATAGACCTGGGAGACAAAACCTTCCTCCAAAACACAACACAAAGACCATGACAACACAAGACCAGACCACAGCAAAGCAAAGATAAGGTGAGCCAGAGGAATCACTTAATATTTGGAGCTAGAAGGGACCTCAGATTTTTATTGTTGTTGTTAAAATGCTCACTTTATAGATGAGGAAACCAGCCCCAAGTGGTAAATTAATTTGCTTAAGTTCACCAAGCTAGTTAGCTGCAGAACAAGAATGAAACTCCAAGTATCTGGCTTCCAGCCTACTTCTCTTTTTCTCATTCATTGGCCAACCCTCCTCTCCAACACAGGTTTTGACCTGTCTCAAGCTGTGGGATGGGACAGTGGAGTTACAGAATATCACAGTTGGAAGAGATGTCTAGAGACCTTGTAAGTACTCTTAGAAAAGAATACTGCTACTTTTGAAGATTCAGGGTCAGTATCAAGATCATTTTCCAGGTGGAGAGAGCTGAGAAAATCATGCCTCTTATCCAGCATGAAGGTTTGAATCCCTCGATGAAATGTTGCTGTTTTGTGTGGCAATGAAGTCACAGTCCTGAGCAACACAATGAACAATTGTGTTTTTAAATGAAGCTGGAAAGTAACCGCTCTGAATATGTTTTCTTTCAAAAAGATCTCATTCACTTTTCTGCTCTAAATAATCACTAATGTCATTAATTTGCTCTTACTTTAAAAAGAAGTGACTTGAGGCTATCCATGCACAGAAATGAGAAAAAAAAAATAACAGCTTAAGTTTTCTGAGAATTTCATCCTTTGAAAAGCTTTTCATTGTGTCTCTCTGCATTAGTTACTCTTTTGGGGAAATGGAAAAAAAATATTCTGAGTGTTTCTAAGAATTCAAATTCCCTTCACTCTTTTAGTCCCTTTTTCCTGCACAATTGGAGCTGCCCATTGAGAAGGCCGTAAGTTCTCTTGATGCCAAAGCTATAGGGATTATGAAAGCAGGTTGGGGGGTGGGGCAGAGTTGGGGAGAAGGATTTGATAAAGAAGAGCCAAATTTTAAACAGTCAAGGCAGGTTTATTCAGTTCTTTGCTCACCAAACTGATAGGAGTGTGATGGTGGAGTGAGGGTTCCAAATGAAATACATGAAATCCTGTTGGAAGGAAGGAAGGAAGGAAGGAAGGAAGGAAGGAAGGAAGGAAGGAAGGAAGGAGGGAAAGTGGGAAGAGGGAAGGAAGGAAGGAAGGGAGGAAGGAAGGAAGGAAGGAAGGAAGGAAGAAAGGAAGGAAGGAAGGAAGGAAGGAAGGAAGGAAGGAAGGAAGGAAGGAAGAAAGGAAGGGAAGTGGGAAGGGGGAAGGAAGGAAGGAGGGAGGGAGAGAGGGAAGGAAGGAAGGAAGGAAAGAAGGAAAGGAGGAAGGAAGCAAGGAGGAAAAGGAATTAGTCAATAGTGAAGTAAGTCTAGGTAACATCTCACAAGTCTATGGCCTTTCATATCTCCCCTCTCACCAAACAACTCAAACTCAAAACTAATAGTAATGATAATAACTGATGGACATAAAGAAACAAAAAGGCTTTTCATTATTTGGTTTTCCTTATTTGCTAGAAAGAAATGTAAAGTCTAAACATCTGGATAATTGTCTGCATTCTTTATTCAAAATAGCCTGTTCTTTTTTTAATTTAATTTTATTATGTTAGTCACCATACAGTACATCATTAGTTTTTGATGTAGTGTTCCATGATTCATTGTTTGTGCATAATACCCAGTGCTTCATGCAGAACGTGCCCTCTTAAATACCCATCACCAGGCTAACCCATCCCCCACCCTCCTCCCCTCTAGAACCCTCAGTTTGTTTCTCAGAGCCCATAGTCTCTCATGGTTCGTCTCCCCCTCCGATTTTCCCCCCTTCACAAAATAGCCTGTTTTGAGGACGACACAAGAGTTGAGGGTTAATAAACTTTTGGGTTCCTGGAGATTGTGGGTGTGCATGTACGCACATGGGGGCTACGTGTGTGTGTGTGTGGTGGGGGGGAGACAGACCCAGGAGAGGTGGGGGAAGGGATAACTGAGATCTGGGTTCATAAAACAGAATTCCAGGTCTATTTCTGTATGGGCATTTATTTAGCTTCTTTGTTGTTTTAACTGATCTGATATTGCCCTTTTAGGCCTGGTGCTAAATACAGATGACAGCTAATGATTTTCATCCAATTCACCAATTTCCTCTCCAGTTCACCTGGACAACCCAAGATACTTAAAGGTGCAATTCTCTTTGGAGAACACCACCGCCATTGTATAATAAATGCAAATTATAAATGGGTAGTTGGGTTTAATTTTCCAGCTACCTAATTCTCATAGAGTTCCACAACAAAGTCACTTTAACTTGGTTTTCTTTCCCTAAAAATCATAGTATCAAAAAGTGAAAATCTATTGGGGCAAGCAAGATAAGGAAAGGAAATCAATTTTTGTGGGCATTTGAAAATTCTGGGGGGAAATTCTCTCGGTAATGATAAAGAGTTTTCTAACATTCATAACCAGTTTTCAATACAGAGGGGCTATTTAACAAGATCTTCCTTACCCTTTCAAATTAAAAAAGGTATAAATTATTTAATAATACACAATGAACATAGTTTGTAGAATGTAAAGGTGATTTATTAAAATGCTAACTATGCCTTATTTCTACATAGCGTATTAGGTAACTTTACTTTTTTTTTTTTTTGTAGTTTTTAATTTTATTATGTTATGTTAGTCACCATACAATACATCATTAGTTTTTGATGTAGTGATCCACGATCCATTGTTTTCGTATAACACCCAGTGCTCCATTCAGTACGTGCCCTCCTTAATACCCATCACCGGGCTAACCAATCCCCCTTCCCCCCGCGTATTAGGTAACTTTAAAAAAATTTGTCACTTGAGACATCTCATTTACTTAGGATAGCCAATGAATTAAGAAAGGAAGAACTTAATATCCATCACCGAGCTAACCCATCCCCCCACCGTATTAAGGAAGGCACATACTGCATGGAGCACTGGGTGTTATACGAAAACAATGAATCGTGGATCAGTACATCAAAAACTAATGATGTATTGTATGGTGACCAACATAACATAATAAAATAAAATTTAAAAAAAAAAGAAAGGAAGATCTTATTCACCTAAGAGCCAAGGGAGGGACAGATTACATACGGGGAATTTGCAGTTTTGAGAGACTTTGGTAGGGTTGAGGGCTAGAGATGCCCCCTCCCACGGAGGTGTGTTGAGATTCTGTTGAAGTCTGGGTAATTGAGGGGCAGTGGTTGGCTGGGGAGAAACGTTATGTCGTCTGCTTCCAGACCCAAGAGGGGATCCTTTTCCCTTTGTAAATTGTTCCACGGTCTGCAGGAAGTTATAGGGGAGACTTGGAATTGAGCTGTAGCACTCAGTCCCTCTGAATTGTGTGCTCACATCAGATGCCTGCCTCCCACCAGCGAGGCCAAGGGATGGGCATGAGACCTCCAAAGGGTGAAGAAGATGTTCTCCCTTTAGGATGTGATGTCTTGAGCAGATGCCCTGCATGGAGGGAATGGCTGCAGGCCCTCATCAGAGCCATGACCCGCTTCTGAGGCCATTCCTGCCAGGAGGGATTTCTATCTCTCCTGATGTCTCTTCAGAGCCACTCCTGCCCACCTCCTCACCCTCCCGCTGATTCTTTCCGTTCCCTCCCTCCATATCTTTCCTATCAATGCCTTTTGCTTAAGTGAAGGCAGTTGCTGGTGTCCTCAAGCAAGAGCTCTGCCCGATTCTGAGGCTGGCGGGCCCATCCCTCCTCTTGGCACTTTGGGGAGCAGGCCTTCCCCTCCTAGCCCTTTGCAGGGGTTAAATCAGTTCTGTAGCTCAGAGCACAGCAGGCAGGAGACCTCCCTTTAGGGCTCATTTTAATGTTTTTCTTAGAACAGGCTTTGCAGGAGTCTTGGGAAGTTTCTCAGCTGGAAATGGGCACTATTTGCCATCCATCTGCCCTCCTGCCCGTCCCCTCCTTGTGGTAAAGTAGGCAGGCATGTGAAAATGGTACTTTTAAGCACATACCCTATCTCCCTAGAAATGATATATGTTTAACAAATATCATTAGTAAGGAAGAAGTCACCTCGGAGATATTTTCTCTATTCTTTTGTACTGAAACAAATTGCTTCTATAACTCTGTGCACATGTTTAGCCCAAAGTGACCGTGCATATCAAACATAGGCAAGGCTGAATCCTTGACCCACACAGACATCATCCAGACTCCATGTAGGTGATATACAAGGATGGTGGTATATTTATTTTCGCCTACCTGGCCACACTTAACACCTGGTGATCCCCGCATCTAAGCCAGACCTGCTCCTTCCTCCCCCATTTTAATTTTCTATCTTCTCACCCTAGTTTGCTTTTATTCATGGCATGTATTTCTACTGGATGTTTTCTACATATTTATCTGTTTATTTGTGCTCGGTCTCCCCTATTGGGATACAAAACAAAACCATGGCTTTTTGCTCCTCATGGCTCTGTCTACACATGGGTCCATAGTAGGCCCTCAGATACTTTTGATTGAATATGTATTTTGCACACAGCAGGTTCTTAAGAAGGATGTGGTCAATGAGTGTGCGTTTGAATCAACAAACCCAAGCAGGCATATATCTAGGTATTATAGTCCCGAAAGTAGAAATAAAGCCCCGAAGATTCTTGAAAGGCCAGGTAGAGCATGGCATTCACGTCTCTGTGGCCTAAGTTGGCAAGAGTCCTTTTCTGTAGTTTCCTTGGTGCAGCTATGTTAAGGAGTCCCCAGGAGTTGATCAAGAAGATTTCACCTGCTACCACCATCAGCCCAACTCTGCACCTGGCAGGGTTTGGGCTGGCAAAGGGGAAGGGGGGCAGAAAGGGCATTCTCTCTTGCTTTGCCGCATAGTATCCTCCTTATCGAGCCTAAGACTCTGGGTATAATTCTAGCTCCTTCTCAGAAAATGACAGGGTTAAATGATGTTCTGGCAAAAGTCCCATGATTGAGGGAAAAGAGAAGCCCAAACAGGGTGGGAGAAAGAGTAGGGAAGGAAGGGCCTGGTGGAATCATTCTGTGTTTGTCTTTGACCAACTTTGTTAATTACTTTTATTCTTCTGTCTCCTCATCTGTGAAATGGGTTAATCATACTCACTAACAAGTTTGGGTTGGAGATGAAAGGAGGTAACCATCTAAAGCATGAGAAGTTATTAAGTTTCAAAGAGTAGTGACTCCTGGGGGGATAAAAAGCAAATAGAAGAGGAAGGAAGGAGAAAGAAAAGGGCAAGATGAGAAAATGAAGATCACATTGATCATAATGGGGGATGGAAGAGGATTTCCTGTACCTGATTAGGGCCTGTGAGCACACAGAAACCTGCAGACTGCTGCTTACACTCATGTTCCTGGGAGGCGATTTGGGGAGGAGGTGGGGTTCAGGGAAATCACTAGCACGGAGGATAGAATACATGAAGCCACCAGTGGCTGGTGACCCCAGGTCTTCTCACACTTTGTGCCCCTGCTGGAGAGAGAGTCTGGGTGGAAGAAGAGGGCTCAGGGTCTAGTCCTAGCTCTTGGTGTCTCCGGGGAAATGGCTGCACTTCTCTGAGACTGTTTCCTTGTCAGTGCCTGAGGTGATGGTCCTACCTCCCGGAGGCATGGTGGGAATTCATGAGGAGGCTTTATGCCTTCTAAAGTCATCATCCTTGAGTATCTATTTATTGCAGTTAACACTTAATTGTGAATGGCTTTCCTTTTATTTCTTCTTTATATTACAGCTAAGACACCATACTGTTTTCATTTTGAAATTGTGCATCATTGGGTTTCATGATCTATGGATTTCCATTCAGGGCAAGAGGGGGGCACTGCAAATTCTGGCCGCGGGCAGGAGGCATGGATCAGCTGGAGTGAGGACCGCTGTGTCAGATGGCCCATCTCCAAGCCCCTACACAGGCCTAATCCCAGAACCCCAGGCAACAGGCTCTGAGCTCAGCGCTGCCCCTCTGGCCAACCCTCAGCTGACCCACAGGCCACCGGTTTCCACTCACGGCTCAAGGAAGGGCACATCTTGGTGATCCTGGGAGAGGAGGTCTGCAGGTGCCAAGCTCTCAGCAAGTGTCTCCAGGCTGGAGTCATCCCTCCCAGTCAGAGAGCAAGTGCCTGGGGAGTGCAGGTCAGAGGAAGAGCTCCAAACTGCTCACCAGCCGCTGGACTTTGAGTTTAGGATGGGAGGGGAGGAGCTCCGGGGGGGGGGGGGCGGGGGTCCTGAAGTGGTTACTGCCTTCACTTTGGACCAGCCCCAGAGCTCCCAGGGCAGCACCTTAGGGGAGGGAAAAGCTCCCAGTCCATGACCTAAGGGAGAGAAAAGAAAAGAAGGTGGGAGAGAGAGAAGAGAAAGAAGGCAGGCAAACAAGGTGAAGGCCTTCTGGGCGAGTTTTGTTAGTTTTCTGTTCCAGCAGGTTCTCGTCAGGAGGAGCGCCTCTCTGTGAGGGTGGTGATGGCTGGGGGTGGGGGAGGGGAGGGCTCAAGATACAGTTGAAGGGGTCAGAGATTGAGACATGAGGCGTGTGAGTAAGAGAGAGAACAAGAGGATGTGCATGAAGAAATGGCTGTGGGTATTGAGGGTCCCTGAGGAAGAGAAGGGGACTATGGGTAAAGGGTACTGCTCTCCAGGGAAGGAGAGGGGCACGAAATAGCTGGGAAGGCTCTGGACGACGGTGCATCCGAGTAGGGCAAGACGTTGAGGCCTGAGCAGTCAGGGTGCTTTATTTTGGTTATATTTTAATTTCTAAAATTCCCATTTGTCACTCCTGCCTACCCCACCCCTAATCTCCATAGGCGACTATTTCATGTATCTAATATGCATCTTTCTGTTGGTATGTATTCTTGTAACACGTGTATTGTGTGGAGCGGACGCGTTCTTAATTTATATAAAATGCGTCCTTTCCTTTCCGCTCCCAGCCATGGTTTTAAGACCCATCCAGGTTGCTCCAAGTGCATCTCTGCTGCAGACTGGGAGTCCGTGGGCCTGTGCGTGGCAGGGCCTAAGGGGGACAGGGACAAGGGCCCATGGAGCTTGGTGGGGAAGGGCCCCTAGGCGGAGGGCAGGCTGCTCAGGATTGCCCGGGGCGGGGTGGTGGTGGTGGGGGGGGGGGGGAGGGCGGCTCTAATAAGCAGCGGAACTTCCCAGGCTTGTCTCGGGGGCAGCCACAGGCCAAGTACCTCTCTACACCGACCCACTGGAATCTTCCAAGTTTATATAAAGACCTTAACTTGGTTAACTGGATTCTTCCTTAGAGTTTCCACCTCTCAGCTGGGCCATCCACATGGTCTCAACAACACTTGACTCTCTCAAGGCAGCGTCTTCGAAACAGCTCTCAGTGTGGGAAAGGTGAGCAGAACGTGTATTCCAAGGACAAGGGAGGGGGTGAGGAGCTTCTGCCCGCCTGGGTCCCGCTCTCAGGGCCACAGGCGGTCCCGTCTGCTCCATGACGTCCTGCAACAGTGGTGGGGGATGGGTGAACACCGTGCAAGGGGACATCTTGCATCACCTGGCAGGGAGGCCAGCTGGCTTGGTCACATCCACCACCCCAAATCTGAGGTGAGGGCCCCAGAGAAGCACAGGAAGTCTTTGAAATTCAATGTAAATTGTCCCCTTTTGCGTGGGCTCCCACGGGAGTGGCTTTGGCAGCTGTTGGTCCCCAGGGCACCCGGTCTGTCATGCGGGGGGCCCGAGCTGAGGAAGTGTTGAGTTGCGGAAGTCGGCATGTGTTCTTCAGCTCTACTGGGCTGTGATCAGTTTTGGGCTTTGTGAACACTGTCGGCTGCAGGCTCCCTTGCCTTTAGAGTTTTCTTGGGTTGTAAGACTGTTATGGTGAGAGGCACCCAACATCAGGGGCTGCCTTGGGTGGAGAAGCCAAACACCGCAGGCTCCCTGACTTCAAATTGGGAAGTTGTACCTTCATTATTTAAAAGGGAAAATGGGCGCCTGGGTGGCTGAGTCAGTTGAGTGTCAGATTCTTGATTTTGGCTCAGGCCCGGCTCTCAGCCCTCCTCGGGCTCCCTGCTCAGCAGTGAGTCTGCTGGAGATTCTCTCCCCCTCTATCCCTCCCCAACTCATGCTCTCTCTCTTTCTCTCAAACAAATAAATAAATCTTTAAAAATATAAAGGGAAAACATTTTTTTTTAAAGTGAAACCATTTATTCTGGTTACCATAATAACAGGATACGTTCTTTGTGAAAACAGACTCAAGTCTAGAAAAGCATAAGGAAGAAAGTAACCACAACAAATCTGACCATTATAGTTTAGTAAAGATTCTTCCAGAAATCCTTTATTACGCATGTACACCTGTGTATACACATACCATTTCATAACCTGCTTATAGTCAATAGTACAGCTTTTCATGCAAAAAATATAGATCTGAGTCATGGTTCCTACTTCTTTTACAATATTCCATCATCTGTTTTATTTGATTTTGGAAAATTCTTTGGCCATAATCATTTCAGTATTTCTTCTCCTGCTGATATTTCAATTACACATATATTACACCTTTTGAAATTGTTCCACAGTTCTCAGAGGTTCTGTTATGTTCCGCTCCCCCAACTCTTTTTTTCTCACTGTTTTAACCCAGCAAGTTTCTATTACCCATCTTCAAGCTCACCTATTCTTTCCTCAGCCCGGTGCAGTCTGCCCAGGAGCTCATTGGAGACATTCTTCATTTCTGTTAGTGCTTTTGATTCCTAACATTTACTTTTGATTCTTTCTTAGAGCTTTCTTCTCTCTGCTTACATTATCCATTTGATATTATGTAATGTCTGCCTTTTCCATTAGAGTCCTTAGCATATTAATCATAGTTACTTTAAATTGATAATTTCAAAATTTGTGTTATATCAGAGTCTGGCTCTAATGCTTACTTTGTCTCTAAAGACTGTATTTTCTTCCTATCAGTTTAGCATCCCTTGCAACTTTTTTGTGGGAGCTGGACATGCTGCATTGGATAATAGGATGTCTGGTGAATAAGTCTTTAGTGTGAGGTTTTATGTTAATCTGGTTAGAGGTTGAGATGTGTTTAATATCTGATGTAGCTGTAGATGCCAAAGGAATCAAATTCCTGTAGTGTCCTTGTTTTTCCTATTCTCTGTTGTCTTAGGGCTTCCCTTAAAAACTCCTTAAATGGAGTCAGATCTGGCAACTCTTTGAGCTGTAATTCACTTGTTATTACAGGAGCCCTAGAATCTTATGATTAGATCTCAGTCTTTTAGTGGGCCTATGTCTCTGGACTCTGACTTTTACATGTATTTCTCCAGTGTGAAGAAAAATATATATATATTTTTAAACCTCCTACCCTCTACTTTCCTCCCTGGCCTTAGTTTTCCCAATCTATTTCCTTGAAACCTTGACTTTCTTCTTTTTTCTCTCTCATAGGTGAGGTAGGAAGCAGAGAAGGGGATGCAGGGGAGAAATGCCTTTCAAGCAGCAGACACAGGGCTCTGACCAAGTCATTTCCCCCAGAGAATAGATCTTTATTAAAGTGAAGTCTCTGAGCATTTTCACAATGATTATTCTTCCCCTTCCCCAGCCAGAGCAATGAAGGGAGCTTCACTATGACAACCTAGTGATATTCCTACTGTAGGTATGGCTCATAACACTCTGGGGTCCTCCAATGACTCTGGAAACCTGGAAGCTTCTCATTCTCATGCTAGTCCACATTCAGTCTCCAGCAATTTGTCCAAATTACTGTTTAAGTGTTTCTACCAGTTATGGCTCCAGTGGCTTCTGCTGCAGGTAAAGAAGCTCTAGGCTGTGACTTTCAGGATTTGCCTGTATCCCTAGATTTCACAGTGACAAGTCACTCTGCAACTTCAATTCCTGACAGGTTCAAGAAAAGTCATTCGTTTTCTCTTTGTCCAGCTTCTTCTTGTAAGGATGGAAGTGACAACTTCCAAGCTCTTTACATGCTGAAGAGGAAGTTGGAAGTCTCCATATATTTTACTTAGTAAGTCCCTACTGAAAGCTGTAGTTACTGCATCATCCTAGGACATAGAATTTTGTGCTCTAAATGAACTTGTTTCTGCCAGCACTCCCCCCCCCCCCGCCCCCGACATTGGATAAATCCTTGAAGAAGGGTTTCTGGGTCAGAATGTATGTGCATTTAAAATGCACTCTAGTAAGAAGATATCAACTAACATTGAACAAGACTGTTTTCCAAGATGATGGGGCTTTTGACCATTTTGGAATTACAGTGATATCCACCAATTCTGAAAGCTGGATGAGGGACAAGCTTAGATTGCCTTAGATCTTCTTCCTCCATCTAGGAGTCACTTGAAATAGCAATCCAAGATCTGACCCCCGGTTCACAGGCAAAATTACTATTAAACAGATATTATCTCAGGGATGCCTGGGTGGATCCGTCGGTTAGGCATCTGCCTTTGGCTCAGGTCATGATCCCGGGTCCTGGAATCAAGCCCCACATCGGGCTCCCTGCTCAGTGGGGAGTCTGCTTCTCTCTCCCTCTGCCTGCCGCTCCCCTTGCTTGTACACACTCTCTCTCTCTTTCTTACAAATAAATAAATAAAATCTTAAAAAAATAATAAACAGATGTTATCTCTGAATTATCAGGGACTTTAAGAGACATCTGCTCTGGATCTTTTTCTTCTCTTTCCTTCATACAGATTAGGTATAATTTTTTCCATTATATATAGGACTGGAGAAGATGAGAAAGGACCCCAGTTCACATGACTGATAAATAGGAGGGGCAGGGTGTCAGTTAAGAGGCTTGCCATCTCTATTTCTCATATAATGAATTACTTTGAAGCTTAATATATTTTATCAGGTAGGAAAATATTGGAATCTCTCCTCAAAAAAGGTAATTGATGATTATGGAAGCAATGGGAAAACCATGGGGAAGTAATGGGAAAATTATTAACCTGACAAATTCTGTTGTCAAGTTAATAATTATAGGGTTTTTTTTTTTTTTTTTGTACACAGGTTCGCTAACGATTTATCAGTTAAGTCTGAGTGAACTTTGCTCTTTGATCCTAGTACTTCTGCCAATGACAGAGCAGGGTCCATCAGAATTACTGAGAATAAATAATACTTTTCTAAAGTGATCCTTTCTCTTTCTTAACTTGTTTAG